TTTAAATGCAATTCATCCAGCCATACCTGCAGTGTCTTCAGACTTTGCCAGCAAATTAAAAGTTGAAGCTTAATCATTAAATTATTATCTTTGTGTTAGATTTATTTATAAATCACATTTAAACACTGCTTGTACCAATTAAATAAAATAAAAAGTAGCACGTTCTTTATCGCCGTCATTAATCAGATAAACAAACAAACAAACAGCTTCATCTACCAGACAGACTGACGGTACGTTTCTCTCTTGAAACAGAACAATGTGTTAAATTGTAGAGACTCACCTGCAACACGAGTTGGGAGTAAGACATGTTGTATCAGCTGCAGCTTGTGACTCCGACATGTTTACGTTTATGTCTGTGGTTCTCTCGTGTCGTGTCATCACTTTTCAAAGCTGCATGTTTCTCATTTTTTATCTTTGTGAAGTTCTCCCACACTTTTGAGGACTTGGGTCGAACAGTTTTTGCTGCGTCAGTCATTTGTAAAATTTACTTAAATTTCCTTTAAAAACACCGCCACTGCTTTGCTCCCCCCTCGCTCTGTTCAACTCGCGCTGCAGTTTTTTTTTTTCCAAACTTTATTCAGTCAGTCAGCATTGACAATGAACTGCCCGTGAACAAAACGAAATGGCTCAGCAGCGCCGTGAAAGATGCATAATCGCGCGACACAACGAATCGATAACGAAATTCGTTGCCAACGCTTTTAATCATCAATTTTTATCGATTCGTTGTTGCAGCCCTAGTAAACTATCCTTTGTTTTCTACAACTGATAGTGTTTGGTCATTAATTACGATGAAGTTGAGCAACTTCTCGGTAAACATTCGAGCTCCGGGGCTTCAGCGGTCTGTTATTTTCGTTCAGAGAAGGCAGTCTGATTTCGGTGAGCCGAGCTCAGTCTGCCCCTCCTCCAACACGGACAGACTGAGCGTGGCTGACCGAAATCAGACAGCCTTCTCCGGACTGAACGAAAATAACAGACTGCTGAAGCCCCGGAGCTCGAATGTCCAACATAAAACTAATTTTACTGCAGTTTAATGTGGCGCTATGGCTCTGCAGACATTGCACATTGCCGTCTTGTTTTATGGTGTTTCTAGTGTAAAATATTTCCACACAGCGGACATGTTTAGATGAAAAGTTTGTTAGCTGTTAGCCACAGTGCTGCTAACTCAGTCCTCACGTTGTAACTGGCTGCAAACTATGAAATGGACTTCCTGAATTTGAGGCGGGTCTTATTACTCTTGGTCCACGAGACACGCCTCCGTTCAGGAAATCCGTTCCATAGTTTGAAGCCAACGAGCAGCGCAACCACAGACATGCATCATGGATCAGAAATATCGCCAGGTTCGATCGGAAAATCCGATACGTAAATGATGCTGGTATCGGAGCCCGATACCGATACTGGATCGGCCCCATCCCTAGTTATTTTACACCGGATGTCCTTCCTGACGCAACCACAGACCACCGAGCTACCACAGCCCTCTGTGTGGAGCAGAGAGCTGCTATCTAGGACACCCGGAGGAGCAGATGGTTGGGGTTAAGGGCCTTGCTCAAGGGCCCAGAGTGGGACGAATGAGGGTGGGGGCAGGTGTGGGTGCTTCACCTACCCCACCCACATTTTTGATGTTGTCGATATAGGGGGTTGAACCAGCGATCTTCCGATCACAGGCCCACCTTCTCTAACCTCTGCGCCACCACTCCCCAACAGTATGCTTTATTGCTACTACTAATCTGCTGCCATCTAGTGGCTGAAAGTGGTACTGTTGAAGTTTTTTTCAGTCAGAATTAATGAAAACTGTCATCTCAGCCAAAAACTGGTTTACAAATATGGGGGGAAAAAAAATCCACAAATACGTTGCTTCAGCCTGTAAGTCGCAGGGCATGCAAATTATGAAGAAAAAAAAAAGTCACTTTTACAGCGAAAAATATGGTAAGTCATACTGAAACTTAACTGTCTCATTTACAAGATAGACCTTTAATGCACAAATAAAACAATACAATCAGTAAAATACTTTAGTATAAAATAATCACAACCATACAAAAATGTTAGAACATAAGCTACTCTGACATAAAAGTAAGAACAATTGAAAAACTCAAGAAGAACATGAGCAAGAGACTAGATTAGAGACTAGAGGGTAATGAGACTAGACAGGTTCTGGTTTCGCTGTAGTTCGTTTCACGAGTGCATTCTGAGCCTGCTCAGAATGCACTCGTGAAACGCTAAAGCTGATAGAAGCCTGAGAGTGAAGGCTGCGATGGCGCTGTTTACTAACAAGTCCTGTAACAAGACGAACATGATGATGGATTTGTAAAAAGATGTGTACCAATGGGAAGAGAAACTGTTTGAAAACCATGGCCTACGTTCAAAAGCCTCTGACACAAAACCCCATGGTGGACAGAGTGGAAAGCCTTGATCTATAAAAAAAAGTAGCATGGTGAACTTTGGCACCAAGAGCTTCAACAGCAGTTTCAATGAGGCTAAAATGGTTTAGCTAAAATCCAAACTCTCAGGATGAGCCTGTTCAGCGCTGTGGGATTACCACCTCTCAACTAACAAAGGCACTTCTTCAAAAGTCAACATCTTGAAGGTCTAAATCTAGAAATTTTAGACTCAAACATTTGGCAGATAAAAACTGTCAGTGTCATCACTGCACTCAGGGAGACATTTAGTGACCGAGAGTTGCTAAAGCTTGTACTTAAAATTAGATTAAATAAATCTGGAATACCTTTCAAATTATCTGCACATTTATGTTAATCAAAAGCTGAAGATGCGGGCTATAGTATGAAATCACTGTATGATGAACGTTTCCATGGAAACAGGACTGACGGCAGAGGAAGGGATAATTGGAGATGATAGAGTCAGACAATGAATCAAACATTTAGTTGTGGGATCTAAAGGTTTTGCTAAACTGGACTGTTGGAACTTCAAGTCCCCATCTAGGGGTGTGAATCTCTCAGTGTCTGGCGATTCGATTCCAATTTTTGGTGTCACAATTTGATTCAAAATCGATTTTTCGATTCAGAAACAATTTTCGATTTAGAAATGATTTTTCAATTGAAATGGTCATAAATGTTGTTTTAATTATGTAACTGACAAGCTGAAAAGATTAAACAACAATGTAAACAAATAGAACATTTATTTAAAACAATTTTAGGTTCTGTACTGCATCAAATCTTTTTGCATCATTTTATATTTTACCAAAAACAGGAACAAATATAGGAGTGCATAAAATTATTTAAATTTTTAAGTTAGCTTAGTTGCCTGGATTTTTCTAAAAAAAAAAAAAAAATCTAGGAACAAAAAAAAATTCATCCATCCATCCATCTTTACCCACTTCTTCCTTTACGGGTCACTGGTATCACTGGTGCCCATGTCCAGCCATCACTGTGTGAGAGGCGGGGGACACCTGGATGAGTCTCCAGTCCATCACTGACAAATAATTCAAAATATATAAATATAAAAGTAAACAGACTTTAGTCTACCATAGTACAATAACCTTTAACTCAAAATAAAATACAGACTTCAGTTATTTTTAACCATATTGCTCCAACATTTGCTATATTTTCAAAATATAGAGACTTTACAGTCTAAACCATATTGATTTATATTAGGTAAATCTTTAACAAAATTTCAAAACCTGCACAAAAACCTCTTCTGAACTGCAATAATTTATAAACCATAAACTGTATCATTTAGAAGTGGCTCCAGGAGATGTGTCTCATCTGTCCTCTTCAACCTGTTAAAAAGACAAATTACATAAAGTTTGTTGTATAACTTGTCTATAAGTTTTAGTATAATATGATAAAAACAGTTACCTTTGATCTGCAGCTGCATCAGAGCTTCTCCCGTTTGTTGTTTCATGGTGAAGTTGTGCTGCTGCTTTATCGCAAAATAGACAAAAAATCTACGTGAAGGAATAACGTACGTTGGATCCAGCGAATTAAAAATAAACCTGAACCCGTCACCTCCACTGAGCTGTCTGATCATAAATCCTTTGTGATGCAGCAGGAGATGGAGAGGGAACTCTTCACAGCCTTTAGAGAAGCAGCTGGAAGTTTGTTGCAGAGTTCACTGGTTGGCTGCTTCACTTTCATCTTCCGCACATTTCGTCGTATTTCCAAAATACTGCCCCGCTATTTTATTTTACACTTCTTGCAAACAACCGTGCTCTTGTGAAGCTTTGTCTTCCCCCGGGACATTGTAGGATCTGAAATGACTTTTAAAGACGAAGCAGTGGGTTGAATCGCGCTGTCTCCCTCCTCCATGCTAGCAGGCTCCATTCAAGCTGGCTAACTAGCTGCTGTACGGTGGCCTACATGGCTCAATTCTACGGCGGTTGAGCGGACATGTAATGCGATATGCAGTACGCTCAGGAGTAGGAGTGGAAAAAATATAAGACTTAAATGCATTTTAAAATCGATTTATGGGCCTTTAGAATCTATTCAGAATCGCAATGACTAAGAATCTAGATGCTTTAAAAAACTGATTTTTTTTCTGCACCCTAGCACTGTTTTTTTTTTAAACACATCCCCATACCCAGAAATCTCGGGTTTCTGTCCACAACGTCGCTCATTTCTCCAACCAGCTCGATGCTCGTGTACCGAACTGCCATGTGGACACTTTCAGGAAGTAACACGACCTGCTGTAGAACCTCTGCCACAGTCGGGTTGTTATCTCTGAAAAACAACACGAGGAATGCGTCAGCAGCTGCTTACATCTGTATACCTGCCTACGTTTAGCCTCCTCAGACACTCACGGGTCGACACTTTTAGCGATCGAAGCCATGATAAAGAGAACAGCCTCAGTCACCTCCCAGGGGGGGTTCCCGTCTTTTAAAGTAGAATACAACTGAAGGAATACACGACAGATGTTAATTCATACATAAACGGTGGGGAGGACAGATCCTCGTGCTAAACCAAAGGTACCTGAGAGAAGCACTCCAGGGATCCAACAAGAAAAATAACGTCTTTAACGAGATCCGACACTCTCATCCGGAACTCCCCAAAATCGTCCGTTTCCTCCGGGATTCCTTCCTGTCGGGCCAAATAAACTTTAGAACCAAAAATAGAAAATAGCTTTTAGAATGAGACCTCCAACAGCTTAAGATGGTCCTGGTTTCATACATGGTCCGGGTCGAGCTGACAGTGTCGGGCCAAACAGTGGAGCAGTCTTTGTATGTACGGTCTGAAGATACCATGAAGGTGGGCATCATTTATTTTATACAGGTGTTCTCCCAGACGATACCAGAAGTTAAAAGAAATCTCCACAACCTGGAACACAAACACTAGAATCAGAACCAAGACTCATAAACAGATTTCCAATCAGAACCAAGAGTAAAGTGAGGAGTTCACATTGTTGCATAGTTCTGAGGTTTGTTCATGGTGTGCAGTCTAAAGAGGTACAAACACTTCACTGTTTTTAAGACCCTCAACATCAAACCTGGATTCAGGACTCTGAGTGTGCTGGTTTTTGTGGTACCTCATACTGCGGGTGACCTGCACAGATCAGCAGCAGCTCCAGTGTCCTCAAGTCTCCCATCCCCTGACCCGGACTCCTAACTGTGGTTTCTAGAAATGTCTCGCAGAGCTCTGTGAAGATTCTGCAGTAGTTCAACACCCTGCGGACACAAAACAAACAATGATGACGATTTAAAAAAAAAAGTCCACTAAAAGGCCGTGCCTCAGATCTTACTTGTCCAGGTCTTCTCGAGCCACAGCCATGTGATAAGCCGTCTCCAGCGTCAGAACACCCTGGAAGAGCTGCAGAGCCAAAGGTATGTTGGTGTCCACGTTCTCTATGGCATAGAGGGCTGAGCAGACGCAGTCCGATGCTGCTTCGTGTAAATTGGTCGAGGTTTCATCCCTCTGCTGCACAAACAAACAGAAATGATCAAATAAGCTAAAGAACAAACTACATCTGCACCAGACCCTCGGTCTTCCACACACATCTGTGCTCAGAGACTGAAGCTCACCAGGATTTGGAAGAGGACCATCAGCAGCTGATTACTGGCCATGAAGTTACTGTCCAGGACTCCCAGGTTGAACCAGCTGCCAAGACACCGAAAGACCTTGATGAGCATCTTTTCATCAGTCCCAGTTTTCTCCACACAGGATGTCTGAGGACGAAGGAGGACAGAGTCAAAACATGGAGATTACTAAGGTCCAGAGTCAGGGGTTATTGAAGACCTGCTTCAGAATTTACAGAGGTACAGCGTCAGGGATTACTCTGGAATAACAGAGAGACAGACTGGAGAAAGCCAGGATGAAGAGAGACAGGTAAAGGACAGACAGACGGTCTAACCAGAGTCAGACAGAAAGACAAACTGTGGACACATAGAGGACAGTCTAACCAGCAGTGTGACCACGGTGGTGGAGTAAAACGCCAGGTCTTCAATGATTTCTGTTCTCCGATTGGCTCCAATCCTCAGAGATCGGCTGTGAACTTCTTCTGGTAGAACAGTCAGAATCTCGATAAGGAACAGCATCGAACTGATGTCATTGTTGTATCTGAAAGAGGCGGAGCCACAGGAACAACAGGTGAGTCGGAGAATCTTTGCAGAGCAGCCAGTGTGTTAACAGTTAGGGTGATCGTGTGAATTCCTACTTTTCTATCAGCGTGTGAACACATCCTTTCCACGACGCCATTTGAAGAGCAAGATCAGCAATCGCCAGCGCCAGCTGAGACAGCACAAACCCACTGTAAACATCTCATTTTACTTCCAAACTACTTTCTTCTTGTTTAAGTTAAATTTATAACATGCTGAATTCCTCTAGTTTGCTTAAAAACATAACAAAATTTCAACAACACAGGCGTTCAAATGTATAAAGACATACAACACCAACTTGAGTGGGGGTTCAACAGATCTGACCAGAGTTAAAGCTGTATGAACAACGTGACATGTAAAGGCAGTGTCATTCCTCTGGATACACAAACATTTGTTAAAAGTCTCTGAAGCAAACAAAATCCAGAAACCACATACCTGAGTTCAACACAAACCAAAGCCATAGCCTCTGTTCAATGATCACATGAAGTTACCTGTGTGACAATGATGGGAGACAGGTCTTTGAGGTTCTGGATGTGGGTCAGCAGGGAGTCTCGCAGTGCATTATGGGTCTCAGATGGAAGCTCGTAGAAAGACGTCTGGATCTTCATCTTCATTGTCTGAGCAGCAAAATAACATGACTCCACATCCTGTTTGAGCTGCAGGAGCTGGTCTGAGATCTCCCAGGCAAACATCTGTACACAGGACAGGAAGTGATGTCATCACATTTATTTACTCTTAGGCAGGTAACCTTATTGTGAGTCTTATTTATGAGAGCTGTAATATAGACACATAATTAACATCACTTACATAAAACAGTACGCCAATCATAAAGCATTATGTTGAAATTTAAAACATCCCGTAACATGCACATGCACTCAAAGGATTTTAGTTTTTCTGGACTTGTTGGTGTGCAACAGCAGCTGTGTCAGTCTGAGCTCTGCTTATGGCCTACCGGAGTTAAAACATTTCCGTCAAATAAATTAAAATATGTGTAACCTAAGAACTAAAATCTAATTTTATAAATGGTGTTTGCATTCGAGTCGTTATGATTATTACAAAACAGTCAAGTCGGTTTCTGTTTGGACCCATTCATTTTGTTAGCTTAGCGGCCATGCTAACAGGAACTACAGTGTCCTCGGAGACTGCGCAGTTCACACAACCTGTCCATGTCCCACACAGGTGAGACAGTTAACTTCAGTCCACCTACATTACGTCCAACATTATACCCAACCGGTACCGCCCTCCAATTCGCCGCACCGGCCTCTCCCATCTTCCTACCGATCTCTGGAGCTCTCCGAGCCAAAGCGAGGCTCGTTCCTTCCCAGCAGGGTCCGGGTCGTGGTACAGAGCCTGGACCGCCTGGTAGACCAGCGCCAGGTTCGGCTTACCGCCCTCCATAACGGCTCACAAACAGAATCCAGTAAGGCAGGTGGTTTGATTCGGTAAGGGAGCTAAAAACCTCCTAAACACTCCGAGCGTTAGCCGCCATCTCACACAGGGTTCCCGCGGGCAGCCCCCATCCTGATCCGTCTGGAAACACGGGCAGTACTTTGGTTCCGACCCCTGCCATGTTTGAAAAATCATATAGAACCCGGAAGCTGTGGCGGATTAAAAGGGACAAAATTAAATAAATAAATATGATGAAGCGGTTAAGAGAATGGCCTTAAATAATAATAATAATAATAATAATCTCCCGGGTCAGATGGTCTTACTCTTAATTTTTATAAATACTTTTGGGAGGCTGTAAGAGTGCTTTTGTTTGAAGAGCTTAAAGAATGTATTGAGAGAAAAGAACTGATGACGACCATTAAACAGGGAGTGATCACACTAATCCCAAAAACAGGCAAAGACAAAAGATAGTTGGACAATTTAAGGCCTCTTACTTTATTAAATACAGATTATAAGATATTTTATGGGTCTGTGACTCAAAAAAGGAACATTAGACGTAATTTTAGTGAGACACAGTCCGTTTTTTTAAGAGGAAGACTCATTCATAATAACATTAGACTAGTTCTAGATTTATTAGATTATACTAATTTTATTGATGAACAGGGATTAATACTTTTTCTTGATTTTTACAAGGCTTTCGATTCAGTTGAACACTCTTATTTTCAGTACAATGCAGAGTTTGGGATTTGGAGAAAAAATTAACAACATTAAAATGTGTTGGATATTATTTTTATCTAGACTGGTCCTATGGTTTTGATCTGCTCAGAGACGGGATTATAATGAAATTATGGCCCGGTTCTGACTGGGTTAAACTGGGCCAGCAACTCTAAAAAGAGTCTCCCTGGGATTCAATGTCTGTCAAGGAATAGAGTTTAATCTGCTCGCCACATCACGTAGAAAGGCTTTTGACGCACCATCTCATATTTCGTAACACATCAGAACCACATAAGATCCATTGAGATCACACTTAGTCACGCCCCCTCATACACTGACAGGTTGAGCTCCCCTTCTGTGAAGAAGGAGTCCAGGACCCTATAAATGAGTAACGACACGGGACATCTACCTCAAACAAAACAAGCTCAGCTTTGAAGAAGACCTGACCGCTGCAGATAAGGAGATATGAGGCAAGCTGTGGCCAGCGGTGGAAGAAGCCAGGCAGGCTGTCGCAAAGCATATTTTGTTGGAAACAGAGCCTATATTGAAGGAAAAGAAATTAATATATGACAAGGGAAAATATATCTTTCTATATATTTTAATGAGTTAAAACCTCCACTCTAATGCAAGATAGAAAAGGTGACAATCATACTTTCAAGTGCAGATATGCAAATAATAAGCAGTTACTTGATAGCTTTTACAGCTAAGTTCTGCTTTTACTCAGGGAGCTATTGTTAGTGTTAGTTTATGCTATTGTTAGTGTTAGTTTATGATATTGTTAGTGTTAGTTTATGTTATTGTTAGTGTTAGTTTATGATATTGTTAGTGTTAGTTTATGTTATTGTTAGTGTTAGTTTATGATATTG